GAGCCCGGCTAACCGAAAACTGAGCCCAACTGAGAACTGGCTACCGAGAAACCGAAAAACTGAGAAACTGAGAAATCGAGAAACCGAAAGACTGAGCAACGCCCAGCGCACACGCTTTGTTGCGCCTTTTGTTGGGCTTTGCCGAATAACCGAAGCAAAAACCAAAATTAGCAGCCGCAGCGGCACTGCAAAAACAAAAAAAAAAATGTCCAAAAAAGCACAGAAACGGCGTAGGCAAAACAGCCCAGAACAGTTGAGAGAGGGCAAATCAACAACTATTTAGGAAGCTCAGAATATGGCAAAGAAGATGTTGGTCTTGAGAAAGGCGCAAAAAAGACTGGGCGAAAAAAAATGTTAGCCAAGGAAAAGGCATTTTGACCTTAACAAATATTTGAACAATTTAAAAAAAAGAAGAATATTCCAGTTCAAAAGTAAAGACAAGGCAAATGAACTTGTCTAACACTATTCGGCTTACATTCAACACAAATATTAAGTTGCCTCTAATATTGAAACAGCAAATAGAGCTGAAACAGTTTTTTCTATTTAATATACAAACAAATATATATAAACTAATATATAAAATAATTAAATATTTGCACATTTATAACAATTTTATTTTAAATATTCATAAATATATATATATTTTATAAAATTAATAATATATATTTTAAAATTCAAAATAAAGTTGCATTAGGTTTTTGTATTATATATCTATCATATTTATTTTGTATATATATTGGTTTCTTTTAAATATTAGAAATTTTTTTAAATAATTTTTATATATAAATTATTTATATTCATTTATGCAGATATTTTTTAATAGTCATACATACATCCTTGTCAATATATTTATTACTTTTCTTTCAAATTTAAAAAATATATATTTATATTTATTTTGTGCAAATATGTCCATTATTATATGAATAATAGTAATATAGTATATACATTTATTTTTTTTTTTTTAATATAAGCATTATTTTGAAATGATTAATCTAGATAATTTATCATTTATCATTTGGTATATATTACCAAATAAAAAGAAAATATATATGCCCCCAAAAAATATAATTTCATTATATTATATTATTATATTTTAGTATATTATACATTTTATTATATACATAAGTTTTTAATTATTAAATATATATATTTTATCATTGTTGTTCTACAAATTTTCTATATTGTAATCAGAATTTATTGATTTTAATTTAATTTGATTTTCTTTATTACATAAAATCGCTTATTATAAGAAATATCTCTCCTAAACTATTCGACTTAACTTTGAGAAACTTTAACTTTACTTTTCTTAATACAATATATAATAGTATTAGTTCCTTACTAACTTTAATTTAAACTAAAATTTTTTCTATCAAGTAGATATTGGAAAGTTGTGAATATAATTAAAGTGGCTGCCTGAATAAAAAATAGAGGCTCATTATATGTATATTTATGGAGTGTGAAAGGTGTCGATTTTCACAGCTGACATCTATTAAAATGAGGTTTTAATTTAATAACATTTTTTTAGATGGCCCAAAGTACTTTCAAGTTAGTTGATCTTTTACAATGTTGTCTCTAGGTTCTTTGCCTGCTGTGAAGTTATAATGCCACCCTCGCACACACACACACACACACACGTAAGCACAACGTGATAGACGATGAGAAAAGCAAAAAGTGAATAAAAGCCGGAGAATTTCGGCATTTGGGCTAGGGGTATAACACGAAAGAGGGGGATAGGCAGAGTATGCCGCCCCGAATGTCATACAAATGACCCATATTAAATTTATTATGGCACAGTGAGCAGCACAATGAAATTCAATAGCTGAAAACCTAATGGCAAACAAAACAAATCGCCGACGCCTACCGACTATGTATATCTCCATATATATATATATATATATATATATAAATTGACATATATATATATATATATATACATATAATCTATCTCTGAATACATGCATTATGCTGTTGTACAAAGAGCCATACTTACATGGATTTGGGGCTTGGGCTTGGGGGGTTTGGCTGTATCAAAAGCAGCTTAAAGACGCTTGTGTGAGCCAACTTTTTGCATTGCTTGTCGTTACACTGTCATTCTGGCAGCTTTACCAAATTGATTTATAATCCTGTCTCGAATATCCTGAACAGGAGCCGATATAAGGCGCTGCTTTCAAAGTTGCGACGAGTTGCTTCGCTTTATTTTTGTTTTGGTTTATATATATATATTTATTTTTTTACTGTGCTTCCTTTCCGCGCGGCTGTAATGAAATTTTCCCAATTACTTTGCAATTATATGCGTAACAATTAATGAGCAGAAATTTTGTACGCTGCATACGCTGCGCAGGCGTTGAGGCGACGCGCTGGCAGCGACGCCTGCGTTTGTTTACCTCAGCACGTGCTTCGGCCCATTATCCTGCAGCTAATTAAGAAACGTGAGACAAATGACAAGCGCTAAAATATTGTTTGCTAGAGCTTAAAAGACACGCACACACACACATTCACAAATGCACCTAGAAATATGTACAATGATATTAAGCTAGACTTAAAGATATCCTGTTAAATGTTTATCATACGTTTTTTGTCTTTGGTTTATGGAATATTGTTATATCAGCTTAAAATTGCCTGAAACTATCTGAAAAATTACATCTTGCAGATAATTTGCAGTTATTATATGTGCATAGACATAAATCTAGACTTGGAAATATCCTGTAAATAGTTTATCAGAAGCTTAAATGCCTTTGCTTTGTAGAATCACATTATATCAACTGTAAATTGTCTAAAGTGAGCTGAAGTTAAGATTTTCTTCCAGATATCATATCTGAAATGTCATCGAGCTAGACTTTGACCCAGTAAATAGTTTATCACAAGTTTAATTACCTTTGCTTACTCTACTGAGCTCTATTGATTATTGCTCAATCAGCCAAAAATTGAAGTTTCCTTGCAGATGGTTCGACTAGTAGATATCCTGTAATTTGTTGTTGACTGCTTTTATGACTTACGTAGAATAAGTCTCTTCATGCTCTTTAAGCCGTTAGAACGCTAAAAATTAAGTTAGATTACTGATAAAATGACTATAAGATATCCTATATTTAAACAATTTTTAATTGTATTCATTTGTTCATTATTATTATGTATATATAATTATATATAAAAACATATATATATTATATATATTGACTGTACACCAGCTTAGCTAAAAGCTTTTGCAACATTGCTGTCTTAATACCTTAAGAAAACGAATAAGAACAAAATGTGAAATATAGGATATCGCTAAGTTGATTAAGCATTTGCATTGCTGCGGAAGCTAATTCAACTCTTTTAGTAATGTTAAGTATAAGCTTAGCACGCAATAAGATACCCTGTATTTACTTCTTGTTTATTTTTTGCTGAAAAATTATTTCTTATTGGCTTACAATATTATGAAATGATAAATTGATGGCTATGCTGCGAGATATCCTGCAATTAGTTTTTGATTAGAGTAGTTAGGCATTACTCATAAAAGATTGAAAAAACTGAACAAGTTTATATTTACATACTACAGATAGGTCGACTGCGAGATATCATATATTTAATTTTTGATAAGCTCTGCTTAACTATGGCCCATTCTTTTTGGTAAACTTTTCATTCATACCCATTATATATGTTTAAAGTGTATAAGGTATCTGCCTAATTATACTCGTATACATGTCATACATAAATAAATAAATGTTTTGCTGTATGTGTCTATATGTATGTATATATATAGAATGGTCTTAAGACAACACCAGGAATTTATTAATTATCAAGTGGACTTTAGTTACGACCTCGTTGCCAACCAGCCAACCAGCCGACCACCCATCCACCCAAACACACCCGCACACATACAAGCACTTCATCACACATACACATGCACATATACAAAGAGTTCTGCAATCACAGCCGCTTGATTGGCATTTAAAGCTCTTTAGGAAATCTTTAGCTCTTGAAGGAGCAACGGTCCGGTCTGGTCTGGCTGACAGCAAAAATCGAAGTGGAGTGGCTACATTGAGCCACAGCTGAGCTCCTTAACGCTGCTTCCAGTCTGACATAATCCATGCAATTGTAAATTTAATAAGAGCCGAAGAGAGCGGTGGTCCACGGAGGGGGCAGGCGTAGCTAGCTGTTCAGCTTTCTGGACAGGACGACGAAGCGTTCTGCGCTCGACCGAGATTTGTGTGGGGCTGGCCGGGGTTGAAACGGAAAAGCAAGTAGTCAAGGCAATTAAGTAAACCAAGTGGGCAGAGAGTGAAAGAAGCTGGTCTGAACTTTAAGTAGACATACAGTAGTTACATCGCATATATATAAGAAAGAAAACTTTCAAGTACCATCAGAGCTGTTCAAGTGCCGCAGACTTTTGCTCTGCGCCTATAAAACTGAAGGTCAAATAGGGCTGTCAAGTGCTACAACTTCTTTAAGCTAAACTTTCTGTGGCAACAGTGTCTATACCAACACAGTGTTGAGTAACTCATTTAACTTATCTGCCCATTTCCATTGGGTACTCAGGCTGGAAATAGAGTTGTAATGAAAACGAAACTTTTGACAAATCAATAGAAAGGCACAATTATCGATAAGTACGCAAACAAACAAGCTTTTGTTTTATCGATTAAAGTCTATATATCTAGCTCTTTTATCTGTCGCACAAAATTTTAGGTTATTTATAGTTGCCTGCCAACCCAATGTAGAGCTGAGCTGGAACAAAGATGTTTCTTAGATGAATTTGCACTACTTGGATCTACTCAGAAGCCCTAAGCTGTAGACTTGTTGGAAAGATTCTGTTGGAAAATACGTATTTTCCAGCACTGAGTTTCTTGTTTACAATTTATCCGCTTGGCAAAATTTGTCAGCAACTTTTGTAAATGGGCCACAGACTTTAAATTATCGATATATGTATGTCTGTTGTTCGTCAGCCCTGGTATGTCATGCAAAATTAATCACAAATTTAAAACATTTGTTGAAGCTAAATACATAAATATCTAATGTAAAACTTCTAGAAAGCAGAAGAAAAGATCTAGCATAACTGCACTTAAATAGGAAAAAACTACAATATTTTGAAATTCTAGAAGTTAACAATTAATTCCGGAATAATATTACAAATCTTTGCGATAACTGTTGCTTCCGCGTTTTATCCCATCCACAACACACACATCTCTCCTCGCCATGACCACCGAGGAGTTGAATTTTATTTGCGAAAAATTGGTCAGCTTTCAGTATCTGGACAATCAATTGGACTCGGCCAAGGAATATGCCCACTGGCTGCTCACGAACATCGAGCTATGCTGGCGCGGCGGCCTCATACCAGGTCTGCTGGGCTATCTGCGCGAGCCGGGCCCGCAGCGTTCGCCGCGCCAGTGCGTGAAGGCGTTGCGCGTGCTGCACGAGATGACCACCCATTGCACCAAGGTGGATTTGAAGCGTCTGGTGCTGACCACCGACCTGCTGCTGCTCCTCCGCGACATGCTGCAGCTGTCCCGTTTGCGTGGCACCATTAAATGCTGTTGCCTGGCGCTGATGAGCAATATCCTGGTATCCGGCTGGCGTTTGCGTGATGCGGTCGTGGAGTCGGGCCTTCTAACGGAGCTCTTGCAGATGCTGACGCATCGACGACGCGGCCAACAGCCGTTGCAGCCGTGCGACAAGGGGCAAGTTCTGTGGCTGCTCTACCAAGTGCTGCGCTACAAGGTGCCCGGTCCCACATTGACGGCCATCCGAAAGATTGCCCAGGTTCTGCCCGTCTTGCTGCACCACTCACAGGATGTGGAGCTGCTGCTGCCCGCATTGCAGCTGGCACGCTTAATTTCCGAATACCACTCGACCATGGTCCCGGCCATGGTCAAGTCGAAGCTGTTGAGCCGCGTGGTGCGCTTTGTGCTCAGCCCGCTGCCGGAGGTGCAGCGCGAGGCGATATTTGTGCTGGCCAATGTGTGCCTGGAGTATCGCCGGCGTCAGGCGCTCTTTCGCTTTCCCAAGAGCATATTGCTGCATGTGCATGGCCTGGTGCTGGGCGGCAGACCGGATATACGTGTCCTGGTGCTGCAGCTGCTTGGCGGCATTATAGACAACAGATGCATCAAGCTGGAGCACTTCGTGGAGCTGGGCCTGCTCAAGAAGATTGTCCAGTGCGCCAGCAAGCAGGAGAAGGATGCCGAGGTCCGTCTGGCCGCTGGCTGGACACTGGTCAGCCTCGCTCTGCACCTCTGCCGTTGCTACTTGGACTATTTTATTGATTGCGGCGCTCTGCATGCCATATGCGATCTGCTGCGCCTGGAGTTGCCCGTCCAACTGTTGCGCAATATACTTGTGGTGCTCTTTCTGCTCGGCGAGAAGCACTGCCACAGCAAACAGTGCCTGCTGCATGTCATGTGGCAGTGCAACATTTGGCCCAAGATTCAGGCCCTGCAGGGCAGCAACAATGCTGCCGTGAGAACTCTCTGCACACTTCTCACCTCGCGCCATGCCATGGAACTGATTTGGCCCGAGGCGCGAGTCTATCTGAGAATGTAGCTTGGCACGGTTTCTCGTTTCGTCCAACATGATAATCCTATGTAAAATGTAACGTTATATATTTCCACTTACTGGGAGCAAAGAAATTACTTTTTGCATGCCTCGAAAATGTGCAACAAAAAGGCTATCATAGATTTGTGCATGTGTATGTTGCAGGTGAAAGGAGCTGCTTACTCTTACAGCAGAATATATATATAATACTCTTAACGTCTGTCCAGCTGCATAAATGCCTATATCTCGGCAACCATTTGAGCTGGAGACAAATTCCTTCTATTAGCCGCGTAGTTCATATATATTTCAAATGTTTGATAACTTTTCTTGCTGCTTAGAAATCGATAAGAATCGATGTCGATATCCTTTATCTTATTTATATTTCATTAATAATAGTTATAATACATTTTTAATTAATTTATAACAATCTTTTTGATCAAACTTATTTAATTCTGCAATTTGTAATATACATTTTCATATCAGATTAACCACTATTTACTACCAGATCGAAAATATATATTTAAATCAGTTTAATTTGTATAACACAATTTTCTTCAAAATCCATCCAAATATGTTGAATACATGAGTGATTATTGACATTTATATATTTTGTGATAAAATGATTAAGCAGTAAAATCTTCAGCAAATGTGATATAGTTTTAAAGTGAAAATTTTACAGAAATAAATTTTTGAAATTGTTTTCAAATATCTTACAAGAGCTAGAATTTTTTAGAGCATTTCAGTTTTCTACTCCAATCGAGTGCTGATTGACAGCAAAGAAATTTGGAAATATTTAAAATGATGTAATTTCATGATTTATGATTTAGTTTTTGAATGGAATTTTTTGAATACTTTTCGTTTGTCTTAAAATAACTCTTTTTAGAGCATTAAAGTTGTCTTATTCGTTTTCTCTACTAATCAAACGAAACTAAAGAAATATAAGTATATAATATATATTATTATATATATTAAGAAATATATTGTCATTTCAATATTCCTTCCAATTCCATATGATGCATTTTTAAGCAGATAGATCCTCATCAAATTCGATATAGTTATTAAATAAGTCAATTTTCGAAGTAGTTTCGTAAATTAAACAAGAGCTGGATTTATCTTAGAGCTGTTAGGTTTTTTAATTCATTTCTATTTTAATCGAACTCAAAGTAATATTGAAATAGTTTAAGAAAGTAAGAAAAAGTCTTGAATTTCCTTTGAATTTCAATTTTCTGTGCAATGCCATATTATCATTTGTTTAAGCAGTTAAATCCCCATTAAATTAGATATGATTTCCTAATTAATATTTTTACAAAAAGGAACTTTTAAAATAGTTTTATATATAATTTTATAGAGCGTATAAGGATTCTAATTAATTCTTATGCTAATCGAACTCAACGAAATATTGAAATAATTAATGAAAATATGAAAAGTTTTTTAATTTTCTTTGTAATATTAAGAATCTATGCAACATGATAGAATGCTTAAACATTTTAACTTTTGTACAGAGCATTTAAGTTTTCTTGTTCATTTCTGTGCTAATCCCAGAGAAATATTGAAATTATTTAAGAAAATATGAAACACTCTTGAATATCCTTTGCCATTTGAATTTTCTATGCAATTCCATATGATTATTTAACATGCTAATTGAAAGTAACCAAAATCTATGTAAATGCATATATTATTTATGAATTTGAAAAATTTATTCTTTTTGCTGTTGCTGTTGTCAGTGGCAACGATAAAAGTTGTTGCTATCGCAGCGATTTTCAATTTGTTTTTCTTTTTATGCGCATTTAACTTTGCAAAAAAGTTTTTTGCGTGTGTGTGTGTGTGTGTGCGGTCTGTGTGTATGTGTGTGTTGAATTTACATTTCACAAACTAATTGTATGTAAATATGTCAAATGTGTGTCGTCAACACCTGCATGCGTGGGCGTATGTGTGTGTGTGTGTGCGTGGGTTGAGTGTGCGGTGTGTGTGTGGTCGTGCCTGTCGGTGTGTGTGTGCGTGCACACATGTATTTGTATTGCATATTGACAATTTCATAAATGCGGTAACATTTTCAATTAAATATGCGCAACGCCGCAAACACAGCTGCACAATCGCACATACAGAGCTGCCACGCCCGCCCGCCCGCCATGCCTGCCACGCCCAGACAATCAATGCAGCGCCCAGTCCATCAATCCACAGTAAGTCGATTGATATATACGCACAGACATATGTGCAGGTGTGCAGCTTTTGGTCGGTTACAAATTGCAAATCAATCAATAAATAATTGAAATGAAAATCATTTTGCTGGTTTCAACTTATCTTCGAATGCCGCTTCTCCCCCTCCCTTTTGCTACGCTTTGCGCTGCGTATGCAAATGGGCGAAATTGTGTACATCTATCACTCGATTCGGATCGGCATCAGAATCGAAAGCGGCAGACAGACCGACACACACCCGCACACACACAGCAAATAGAACTTTGGAACTGAAGCGAGAAGCGAGCAGGCGAGCAGCCAAATTCAGACTCGTGAGTGCGTTTCCAGGTGTGCGGGATTAGTGATGAGACAACTGATGTATCTATATATATATATATAAAAATATATGCAGGTGTGCGTGTGGGAGGGATAACTTTAGACGTGATTTGTTGGAGCTAGCGATAGTCTCTAAACTGTGATTAGTCTACACAAAAGTCTGGAATTGCAAAAGACTTTCAAAAAATGCACGGAAATTTCTTTTCTGCAGAAAAATTTGAAATTTAACTGTTCAAATTTTATTCATATATGGGTTAAATTAATATTTTCCTTATTGAATATAAGTATAATGATTATATTGTCAAGAACCGAGCCCAAAGCCTTGGATTTCGTTCAAAACGAAAAATAAATCATTTTTATAGTCTTGTTTAAGTTTACAGACACATTAACAGGAACATTCGGGATCTGAATCTGATTTAATAGAAATAGAAATAGAATCTTATATTGAGTATTGATATAAATTATTATTGAATAATAGGAACCATTCACATATAAATAATTCAATTTTAATATCAGAATGTATAGGACTTGATTTAATTAATGATAATTGCATGTTATACCAATTATGCGAGCATATACTCAATATGTTTTTTACAGTTGCTTAAATAATGGATTATGAAGACAATATTAGTTAATATTAATATAAATATTTTTTTAGGACAATCTAAATATTATAAATATTATTTTGAGCGACATTTTTTTAAATTCCTTTAATCTTTTCTTAAATCGTACCTGACAAGAGCCATATATTATATTAAATTTTTAATTTTTTTACAACAACATATTTATGTGTTTTTCGTTTAAGTATATGATGGTGATAGGTGAAAATGCTTTATATTTTCATGAAATAAATCGTTGAAAATTTAAGACAATATTAAAAAATATTTATGTGATTTATTAATAAATTAATTGAATTTATTTATCAGTTGCGATATATTAATTGCTTAAATCCACAATCTTTAATCTTTTCTTGAAGTGACAAGAGTCCTGTATCATATTAAATTCTTAAATCAAATTAAATTTTAATCTACTTATTTTGGTTTTGTAGTCTAACAAATATTATTTTTCTGCTCTTCCAACCAAAGCTATCAATTTGTTCTTAGTATTTATAAACTACTCGACATTATAATAGTAAATATTTGGAACTTAAAAACAATAAATCCAATTTTAAAAGATATATTTTTGTCAACTAATTAAAATCACAATATATATCAACTCTTAACACTACTTAGCATAAGTCCTATTTCACATTAAATTTGTGGCTTATTTCATTTTGTTTATGACAAACAAATATATCCAACAAATATTTATATTCTATTGATGTGAAGTGATGCTGTGAAAAGGCTTTTAATACTTATACTTATACTTATAAAATTAATAAATAAATGAATTGAGAGTAGAATAATACATACTAAAGGCCAAATAACAATATAAATCATATTTGCACGATATATTTTTGACAATTGCTTAGCTGCACATTCTTTTATCTTATATGTCAAGAGTCTCATTTTACATTAAATTTGCAGCCTATTTTATTTGGTTTTCTTATCTAACAACTATTAACATTGTGTTCGTTGAAGTAGATACCGTGCAAATATTTTCGAAATTTATTAAATAAATTAATGAAACATTTGAGATAATATAAAAAAGTATTTGCAACCAGAAAGTATTAAATTAAATTTTACACTATAAATTCGAATCAGTTTAACTAGCAGAAATTCTAATTCACATTCAAATTAAAGTTTTCCTTTGTTTGTAGTCTCATGAATATTTCTAAAAAATTCATTCCAGTGTATATATTTTCTGTATAAATAAAATTGTCGAAATCTTAAATGTTCACTGGCAGCTCAATAATGGTATTCCCTTTAACGCACAGTGATTTAATGGAACATCTCTAGTGCTTGTGTGGTTATTTGGCACGAATGTGTGTGTGTGTGTGTGTGTGTGCTGGCATCTGTGGTTGATTGTGAATATGTGGCGTGTGTGTGTGCGTGTGTGTGCGTGCGTGCGTGTGTGGGCGGCTGATATTATGTTAAATTACCAATTTCACAAATCTATTTGGCACTTTTTCAATAAAATGCGCGCGACCAAAGCGTGTTTGCCATTTTTAAATTGAAAAATTCTATCAAACAAAATTTGCTATTTTCTTCCTCTTTTTTTGATTGTTTGTATATTTCCCACCAGCCAATCTAGAATATGTATAAAATGAAAAACGCTTAGCCTCAGCTCGAGCTGTAGCTAGTATATATGTATGTATGTAGCTGCAACAGCGTCTCCGACTACAACTGCGATGGCTACGGCTACGGCTCTAGAGTACCCGGGCTTTAGCTGGCGGGTTAAATTTAATTTCAAAGTTCGCTTTTGTTTTTGGCTGTGCTTCGTTTTTGTCGTTATGCCCAAATCCCGCACAAATCCTTTGAGCTAGCACACGAACAGCTGCTTTGGACCAGGACCAGATCCAGAACCAGGGCGTTGTTCACTTTTGTAGCTGTTGCTGTTGTTGTTGTTGTTGTTGTTGTTGTTGTTGTTTTAAGCGCCGCTGCTTTGGTTGCAGATTTACGCACCAGCAAATCGTTGAATTTATTGGGGGCATGGCTGTCAAGGGGGGCATGGGCCAGCTGCTATGCGCTGGGCGTGGCGGCATTTTCAATTTTGTCGCTGCATCACGAGGCGTGCCAGCTGGCGGGCAATGCCAAAAACCCAAA